CCGCAGCGGTCGGAAGGCGTGCGGGGCGCTCCCAGGAAAAAGCGCCCACGCAGTACGGTTGGTGCTTACTGTAACACAGCGTGGACGAGGGCTGTGTTTGAAGCTATTGCACACCTGTGTGCGCCTGGTTTTCCTGTGTTTCCACAGCAGGCAGACATGTTCTGTAAGCGCTGCTTACCAGAGCAGCGAACAGTTCAGGACCAGTTTGGAAACAAGTTGCTAAGCAAATAGAGGCCCTTTTACAAATGCTAAAGGATTGCTACATACTGAAAAAGACAGGATTGAGGAAGATGATACTGACATCTGTAGTAAACCTTAACCTATGATGCTCCCAAACCACATACACTCACCTTTGTGACATTGTTTTGCAGAGCTGTAAACAGAGTGGAGTTGTAAACAGAGTACACTCTGTTCTGTGCACTCAAACAGGAAGGCTGGGTGAGGGAAGTGCCATTCAGTCTTTGCTTCTGCAACTGTCTTGTCTGTACGTATATTTCAAAATAAAGACAATTTTAATGCTATACTAGCACACCGTAAATGTTCCAGTTTCATCCAGAAATGAGTGAATATTTGTGAGATAAATTATGTGTACCTCCTGTACCAGCAATAAAGTAAATACTGCCATTCTTTTAAGATGTGAAAGCAGAACACAGACATTGAGCAATGTTTTCTAAAGCAGAAATAAAAGAGGATGTAACAAATACCACATCAGGAGGTTTCAAAGTACAGCTGAACTATCCATGCAGTTCAAGTCAAACAGAAAAAGACCTGCCAGTGACTGTCACATGATTTCTGACCAGATGGAACTACAGCTACAAGTAGCATCACTTGATTCGCAAGTTTCCAAAGGAAGTTACTAAATGATTACGTTATGTAAATATTTACAAAGCATGTCCTTTGTATTTCACCTAGTCACTGTTGATTCTTCTGCAGACTGAAAGTGCTGTTATTCCTATTTAAATAAAATCCTCCCTCAAACTTGAGTTAAAAAAAAAAAAAAGACCAGATTTCTTACATTACCATTCTACATCCCAGCTCATATCCCATGACTTTGTGAATGCTGAGGGAAGAATAGCAACATTACACAATGTCAACATGCTTTTTTGAAACAGTTTTGTGATGGTGGATGACTTCACGTTCTAGACTGACCAGTTAATTCTCCTGCCAAACTGCTTTTCGGTAACCAGGTTCTCAACCTGCGCAGGCTGAAGCTACCCCCCGATTTTGTCATGCACGCACCTCTTTCACTTGCCAAGCTGGAGTTCTGCCACCCGTCTCATGACGCTTGTGCTTCTGTGGACAGGGCGGTCCCTCTGCCCGCTCCCGATTGCCTCCCGTGATGAAGGGACTGGCCGGTTGTAGGGGCAGAGGGATGTAAAACACTTGGATTTTCATGAAGCCCTTGACACCTGCAGCGCCTGTCGGCTTTGGCCACCTTGGCTGTTCCTTACTTATGGCTAGAAGCAGATCAAATCAAATGGGCCTTTGGCTGGGATGCGAGATGGACGTCAACCAAGAGCAGGGCCCTCAGGGAGAACTTGGCCTCCGTAGATCAGCCACTCAGACTTTTTCCTTCCTGCTTTGCCATTCTCCCCAATTTTACAGCTTCTCCTGCACACAGTGAGAGGCTGGCCAAGATAAAAGAATGTGCTGAATCTGCCAGGGAGGGAGGTGGACTCTGTCCCCTCTGGGCCACCAGCACCAGGGTGGCTCTGCCGGTCACGGAGGAAGCGCTGCCCTTCTGCACTGCTAGAGAGAAGATGCAACCCTGCTATCGCTGCATGCGCTGTGCCCACGCACACCTCGTGCCTTCTCACCTTCCTGATACGACCAGCGTCGATATCGATACTCGTGCACATGCTCACCCCTTGTGTAGCGTGATACGCACGTGTGTCGTAACTGAGCGGTTACAATACGGTCGAGGGATGGATGCAAAGTTGGCCATAGGGCAGGGGGCAGCTCGTGGAGGCCTGGGGAGAGACAGAGGAAGCAGGGCACCCTCTGGCCAGCCCTGCCCTGGGGGGCACAAACAGAAGTTTCCTGCACACAGCATAAAGAATTGCTTTTTTCTGCCCACCTGGACCCAACCTCCTACCTGTTTTACCAGTGTCTCAAGTCCTAGTATTTAGAGATTTGGTGAACAACAGCTCCACATTGGTCAGATGCCCCCCTTCAGGCTTCTGCTCTCCAAATTGAGGAGTCCTAGCCGTTTAGTCTCTATTCCCTACAGGCACTGTTTCAGTTTCCTTTCCCCGTGCTTCGACTCAGCTGTTTGCTGCTGGGCTCCTCTGGCGATGTTAGTGAGAGGGCTGCAAGCTGACTTGGGGGCGGGGGGGGCGGGTTTGCAGTCTCTGCGCTGCTGCTCCTTGCGCTGATGCCTTTCCCTGGGGCATGTGTCCTGGGCAAGGGGCAATAGGGAAGGGGATTGGACCATACCTGTCCCCTGTGTGGGCACAGCAAGGCATAGCATTATTTTTTGGAAAACAATTGCCCAAACGAGGCCAGGAGCAGCTACACACACTCTCTGACCTTCTGCCAGCTGCAGTCTCTGGACCATGCTGGCAGGGGAGCACTGGGGGGGGGGCCCCATCCCTTGCCCTCCAGGCTGATGCCAAAGACACTCCATTTCACAGCCTGCAGCATCCCAGCCTCCCTGCACTTGCACAACAGGCTATTTCAAGAGTCTGGGGTTTGCTGGCTACGTGTTCAGGTTTTTTTTTTTTTTTGTGGTACTTTTTTGTCTTCGTAAATCAACTCTCAAAATCCGTTCCCTCCTCACCGTCATTTAGTTGTTTAAATCTGCAGCGCCGTTACTTAACGCAGGAAGCCACCAGTCATCCCGCCTGCTTGAAGAAAACTCCGCAGGACCACAGAGTTGCAGAAATACAGCCAGAAAAGAAGTTACCGGTTCCTTGAACGCTCCTGAGAACGAGTGCTGTTCCCTGGGGAAAAGCCGTCCGCCTGTGGCGAGGAGGAGGGAAGGAAAACTACGCCTCCCAGCAGCCCGCCGGGCGCCCTTGGCAGGGCAGGGTTCACCGTCACGTTGACGGTGGAGGATTAAGGGTGCCCGGGCTGTCCTGCCCCCAGCAGAGCCAGGGGGGCCTCTGGGAAGGGCAAGCGGAGGGGCCAGCGCTGGCACCCTCTTTTCGCGCCTCTGGTTCGCTTCACCGCCCCAGCCGGCTCCAAAACTCCAAGCCTGGGTAAGCATCCGACTCCGCAAGCCACTTTGTTCCTCTGACTTCCTTCTTCTGCCAGAGCGTCACCAGCGGGAACAGAACCGGGAGGGGAGGGACGAGAGCCGGGCGGCAGAGAGCAGCGAATACACCCCCCCCCCCTCCAAATCTTAGATTTAGCAAGAAAACTCAGCTGTAGAGACAGTGCGGGTGGGGGAAGGTGTCCCCCTGCGCTAGAAGAACTGCTGTGAAGGCTGAGCTTGAGGGTTTTGTACGGAAATCCGCACCAGCTGCTCTCCAGCAGGGAGTTTTCCATGCCGCCTAGTTTTCCCCGGGCTTGCGTTGCGCTCAACTTTCCATCAACTTTCTCAGGCTACACCAGCGAACCCAGCTGTGGCCCTCCCGTCCCAAAGTGCTTTAGCAGAGGGGGAAGTGTCGCTGGGGGTTGTAGGGGAGTCAGGCTGTGACTTCAGGTTCACAACACCCGGCCAGGGCACTGCTCAGCCCCCTCCGATGGGCGCGAAGTCGGGTGGGGGTAACGCTGCTGCACAGGGGCTGGCTGGTGGTTCTGCCAGCAGCTTCACCTTCCAGCACCACCATCTCCGGATGGTGCCGGAGGTGGGAAGGTAAGGCGGAGCAGGCTCATTGCTCTGTGTCGACCTGGCTGTGAGATACCAGGCGCCCGAAAGCACGAGGGGCAGCCTGCCAAGCCCCAGCCTCCAGGCCTGCCATCTCAGAGCACAGCCGAGTCCATCCAAGTCCATCTGGATGAGGGACCGATGCCTCACCCCACCGGCTTGTCCCGAGGCAACTGCGGTTTGCGTTAGCGCTTGGACTGCTTGTAGCCTGCTGGGAAGCAAAACAGCTAATAGCCCTTGGGCTGGTGGTTCACGGTTATCGGTGGCATCCCTCCATTTTCACACCACCTGGGTAAGCATGGAGGGAGGAGCCTCTCTCCACCATGAATCACTGCTCCTGTGTTTGTGCTTATCAGGTTTACAGGCATTTAGTTGCAATTCCTGAGGCCAAGACAGGATGTCTGTGAGAGGGGCTTGGTCAGCCACCTGAACAATGAGGAAATACGTCTCCTTATGACCAAAAGAGAAAGTGAAACAAAACGGTGCAGAAGGCAGAGCTCCAGGGGAGAAAGAAAATGGAAGAGAATCCAAGCGTGGATCTGTCTGGAGGTAAGTGAATCCTATGCTTACTCCATCTACTAGGAAAATGCCTTTGCAAGAAGATTTTAACAGTGACATGGGAAACCTAAGCAAAATAAAAATAAAAAATAAAAGAATCCCCTCTTTTCCAGGCCAAGAAAAGCAAGTTGCTATCTTTTTTTGTAAGGTGAAAGAATGACAAGTTACTTTCAGTTCTGGATTCCCATCTGCAACAGGCTTAGACTCTGTCCAGGGTGGCAGCACAAGGAGGGCTAAAGATGGAGCTCCAGACTGGGAGAGCATTCTTCCCTGCATCCCAGTGCTTCCTGTCTACAGATGCTTAAATAATAAGCCAATTTTCCACTACCTGTGGATGGGAAACCTCTGGAGGAGGCAGGGCAAGGAGTACTGTTTGTGCCCAGCTTGAATAGCAGGATACCTCCAGGTTCCTCATATTTCAGTTTCTAATGTGTACTTACATTCTCCAGGTGCCTTGTTATGACTACTACATGTGAGTGTTTCAGTGATACCGTGATGCCATAAGGAGCTCAGATCTGTCCTAGGCAGTCGATAGTGCTCCTGTAATACTTGGCAACAAGGAGTATAAAAATCATCCTCCAGAGGACAGCATGTTCTGACACATGACAAGTGCAACTTTTCTCTGCTTTCAAATTAGTAGGGAGTTCCTTGCCATTTTTATCAAAGTCTTCATTCTAATTTTAGCACAATCAGTTCTGTGTCGTTGTAGTGCTTGATCATTCATAAGCAATTTTTCATAAATAGCACCTGAAGTTTGAGCTGCACTGTTTGGTTTTGTAAGATTCAGAATATGTTGCAAATGCTTGTGTTCAGCCTCAGAATTTCTCTATTGAATTATGCCCTACTGTTTGCTTTTAATTATATGTTGCCATAGCATTTTGGGAGAGCACCTCCAGAACAGGATCAGAGAAGGAGCACAAGCAGAGCTAACATTTACATTCAGACAGATGCCTGAAGTGCATTGGCATAACTGTTCTGGCCAGTACTCAACAACAGCCTTAGAAATTCTTCAAATCCATCACCTTAATTTACCAACCTAGGAAAACCCACTATCTGTGGAAGATGTGGTAACACATCCCACCACTTAATGAAAGAATTGCCTGCCCACCCCACATAGGACAGTGTGGAACACAGACTGGGATTGAGTTAACTTTCCTTATAGGAGCCTGTACAGTGCTGTGTTTTGGATATGTGGTTAAAAAAAAAAAAAATGTTGATAACACAGCAGTGTTTTGGCTATTGCTGAACAGTGCTGGCACAGCATCAAGGCTTTCTCTTTTCTCCCCCTCTCCTCCCGCCAAGCAAATAATCTGGGGCAGGCAGAAGATCGGGTGGGACCCAAGGTGGGCAAAGGGATATTGCATACAGTATAACATCATGCCTAGCAACAAAAGCTGGGGTACAGGAGGAAAGGGAGAGGGGGTTGGCTTCCAAGGTGGCCCTTACTCAGAGACTAGCCTGGCATCAGCCCGCTTGTAGGAGGTGGTGAGTGATTGCCTTTGCATTGCGTGTGATTCCCCCCACTTTCCTTCACCTATTCAGCTGTCTTGATCTCGACCCATGAATTCTCACTTTTGGTCACCCTATTCTCTCCCCCCATCTCACTGCGGGTAGATGTTTCTGAAATGCAAGAACTGGGAGTTTTACAGGGTGGTGGTAAAGCACTGACTCCTGTATGGCTAGCTGAGCTTGTGAACTCTGATCCCAACAGCTGGGCCACCCCAGGATGAGGTGGAAAGCACAGCAGAGCATCCTGTGCACCAAGAGCCCACCCAAGAAACACTTGAGCACCAAGTGACAAGCAGGTGGCCTGAGACCTCCTGCAAACCAGAGGAAGACTCTTTGGTCTGTAAATCACCAACTGCTGATGGAGGAGAGATGACACTGTTGGATTCAGCTGGCCCCACAGTAGAGGAGAATGTCCCCCAGGAAACTGAAGTATCACTGGAAGAATCTGGGAAGACAAGAGATGGTGTCTCAGAAAGATCCCAGGAAGACGATGACTTGGATGAAGGTGAGTCTTTCCCTTTCTGTGTGTACAGCATTTCCAAAATGCTGATAACCTGGTGTGGTGGGTTGACCCTGGCTGAACACCAGGTGCCCATCAAAGCTGCTCTATCACTCCCCTTCTCAACTGGACAGGAGAGAGAAAATATAATGAAAAAGCTCATGAGTCGAGATAAGGACTCAGCAATTACCATTACAGGCAAAACAGACTCCACTTGGGGAAATCAGTTTAATTTATTGCCAATCAAAACTGAGTAGGGTAATGAGAAATAAAACCAAATCTTAAGAACACCCTCCCCCCCAACCCTCTCTTCTTCCCAGGCTCAATTTTCTCTACCTCCTCCCCCCGAGCAGCGCAGGGGGACAGGGAATGGGGGTTGTGGTCAGTTCATCACACGTTGTCTCTGCTGC